TCCCTCATTGTAATTCACTTTGGTTCTATGACATTTTACTGCTGACATATGACTGCCATGACATTTTACTGCCATAGTAAATCACTGCCGACAAAGGGATACAGTGATTAATCATTTAATTTTAAGGTTTTCTACATGTAAAAAAAACATAAAAATCAGAATATTATAAAAGCAACCATTATCATGTCAAAAAAATGTGAACACAAAAACTGTCATAAAATTTTTACCCATGCAAACATAAATATGAGTGTACTTATTTGCTATATAGTGATAGCCACTTTTTCCAGCAAATTATTCAATTATTTTATCATTCAACTTTATTTTTAATGAAGTTCAGTTTATCAGTTCATAAAGTCATTCACTGTCCTAGGAAATGTTTTGTTTTGAGAATATAATTATTTGCTGGCAGTCATTTACTACGGTAGTAAATTGTCACAGCAGTCATTTGTCATCAGTCAAATGACCAGCAGTAAAATGTTGTGATACCATTTATTTCTGACCATCATTCAGAACAATTAATTTACGAATCCCACTTGGATAATTTACTTCTGACCATCACTCGGCATAATTTACTTGTGAACATCACTTGGAAAATTTACCAGTGACCATCAATCAGCATAATTTACTTGTGAACATCACTTGGAAAAATTTACCAGTGACCATCAATCAGCATAATTTACTTGTGAACATCACTTGGAAAAATTTACCAGTGACCATCAATCAGCATAATTTACTTGTGAACATCACTTGGAAAAATTTACCAGCATAATTTACTTGTGAACATCACTTGGAAAAATTTACCAGTGACCATCAATCAGCATAATTTACTTGTGACCACCACTTGACTTTTGGATTATATCATTCATAAGATACTTGACATTATACACTTTTTTATTATTATTATATTTGTTTTTACAACATAATACATATTCTGCATCACTCCTCTACAGGGTGACAACATCTAACTACATTTAATTTTCATGCACTCTCTCCAGCATTTTTTTAGTCACCAGTTATTAAAATATTATAGAAATGGGAGAGTGCTTGTAATTTAGAGATTTCTTCCAACATTCCACACAAAATGAAAGCAATGACGCTTAAGCTTGATATACCTTAATCTTTGAAATTTGAAAGCTACTATCTGCAAGGATGATGTTCTTTTTTCACTTTTGATTCATTCACTGATTTGCCTTATGCTAGAATTCTTATGCCCAGTATTCTACAGCTGTCCTTCGATTATTTAAATTTATCTGTAGACCTTATATTTTCAAAGGAAACTTGTAAGGTTTAGTTTGCCTTATTAATATGATTCTTTTTTTAACATGATATTTTTTACATTCACAGCACAGGTAATCATCCTCACTGCAAAAGCCTTCTGAATAATGATTGGTTACTTTCAAGATTCTGTCCAAAATAATACACAAAAATCTTTCTTCGAGGGTTTCAATAACATTGGTTACAGTCACAAATATAATCTTCTGTTTAGCATTTTCACAATTTCTATTCATATATCTTGGAGGTGAATGAAATCGTTTTGGTGAAGACCCATGGTTAGAATTGTTATACTTAATTTCTGACTTGGGTACACTTTTTCTTAGAGACTTAATAATGAATTTAATACACTAAACTGTCTAGCCTATTAATACATTCTTCAGAGTCCAAAAGTAAAGTCAATGGTAAACTGTGAGAGAACCTAAGTCTTTAGAAAATCAAACAAACATCATCAAAGTAGTTGAATAAATAAAGTTGTTTAAACATTGGTTTAACAACAAGTAAAAGCTTGGAATGATCTATTCTTTCATTGGGGGTGTCTGTGAGCCAGAGTAGTTTTGGAGAATTCCACTCCTCATCAGTGATCCTGGACACTACCACCAATGAAATATCGGACCAAACCAAGGCTTTATAGTAGTAAGGTATTGTTACGTCTCTGTTCGTTAGTTAATTTTCCGTAAATTCGTTACGACAAAACTTTAGTGACACAAGTCCTTTCTTAAATAAAACTGGTTTATTCTTTCTGAATATAACTTTGCGATACACTTAATTTCAACAGTCGCACTATAACAAACGCTATAATTCTCAACAAACGTCTCATGTGCTCTACTCAACAATACTCAGTTCAATTACACAATGTTCCGTCACGTTGTGACCGTCTTATATATACAAGATTAACACATATCTAGTAAATGCTAGAGCATTCATGAAGGAACAGGATATTTCTAGAAGTCAATGATCTGTTACTAGCGTCACGTGACTTCTGCTGTCGTAACAGTATCGAAAATTGAACTGGTGTATTTAAGTGTTTTAAACTCACAAAGAAGAAACCTATCATTCTATAGGTATTTGAAAAACAAATGTTTAATCAAC